CCTCCACTGGATTAATATGATATATATGTCCTGCAGTCGATGTCAGACACATTATGAGCATGGATAGCTGCTCTAGCTGGGTACTACATTCCGTAATAATGGCTATAAAACTCCGTCTTTTGGCCCTTTTTACATCCTGATTTATGAAAGCATTAGAAAAATGGCGTCGGGGATGTAGCGTTGTGTTCGTCGTCAATCAATAAAAATTCAAAATTAGTAAGTGGTAAAATAATTGATCTCTCATTTCGCCCACTGTTGGTTCCACAAATGAACACTTCATATTTCCTCTTTCCTCCCTTTAACCCTTCTTATTTTTTTCTCCCTCTTGTTTTTATTTTTCGGCGGAGCTGACGGTGGGTTGGGGGGCGGGGTTGGTAACGTGCCTATGTGCCTGTTCCCCGCCCCCCTCACTGGGGGGGGGGGAAACGGGCAATCCGCCCCTGCATCATCATCATCAATATCATCATAACCCCCACAACCAACATGATCATCATCCTTGTCAACACCATCATCCTCATCATCATAAAGGAATGGCACTTTAGAAAAAGAATAATGATTTTGTGTATACCGTACCTCTTCAGGTGCAAGTGGTGTTTTGCATATACTGTAAACAATACTGCAGGTGTATATGGGGTTGAAAGAAAACAAAGAAGACTTTACAATTCATAACAAATGTGAGTACAGTATTTAAACATTTCGTATCGTTACCAGTAATTTAATAGTTAAATAGGAATTCTGTCATCATATATGTTTATTATTTTGACTATTGTTGGCATTGAAGGCATTGCCAATCCCTCAACAGCATGTACTGATATGGCTGCATTCTATTCAACAACAAAATACATTCCAAGTGACTCGCTAAACCAATCAAATACTTGAAACTGTTTATAGAAACGTTATATACAACTTGGGGCTTGTTAATATTTTCTGTATTATTTTTAAAAGACAACGAAAGTGATAGAGGTAGGCCCAAATAACATCGCTTTTGTCAATAGAGTGATATTAATGTCGCCATGGATGTTTCTCCGTGATGTCGATATCAATTATAGCTAGGCCTACTAGTGATAAATCCAGAGATTCGAAATAGAGGGGACCCAGGGAGGGACTTTTACAAATGGAGGGTCTAGACGGCCTCAGTCCCAACCGAGTTTGGGGGCTGAGGTAAGAAACGTTTATGATTATGGCACATCTATATCTCCATGCTCTAGATGGCCGGAAATAGCACTCTCATACTTTAATTTGTATAATTTTTTCTGCATTTTTAAAAATAATTTTTAATAATTTACGGGGAGGGGCGGTTGTTGCACGCACCCACTCCATCTCCACTATGAATCCTTTACTGGCAACATCTGTCAAATTTTATTTCTTCGAAAATAGAGAGCAGTTGACCATCATATATATATATTAGTAATATTGTAATAATATTGAAAATTTATATAGCGCCGGGCGTTTAAGAGAGAACGTTCATGGCACCCCTCCTCAAGAAAGTCGAATATATGGAAAAAATGAAATAAAGGAAACCAATAGAGTTTAAAAACATGAGATAGTGTCACTGTCTCTGTGTGTATGTATGCTCGGGTACTCCACATAAGAGGGAGGTATGCTGGGCTCCAGTAGCACATATACTTCTTGTGACTATAGCTGAAAATTATTATTTGTTAAAAACAAAAACAACTAGCCTTGCCTATGTAACCCGAGTTGCCATAACTAACATCGATCCCCCATCGTCCAACTCCACGACAACAACAACAACAACAACAAAAAATATGAATTTGCCCATCCACACAAAGTTATTTTGATAGCCATTCCCTATATTGGTCAAACAGCATATGGGCGATCCTAAGCCGTAAAATCTCTCCCCATGAAACCCCACTATGAAATTTATTCCGAGAACCTGACCGATGTTCTAGGCAACCCCTTGTTTCGGACCCCGGTCAGAGTTGTTGGACCTCCTGTCGATATTTTTCTTAATTTAAATTGACTGTACTAGCCAAAAAGTGTCTATGTATATATAAAAATATAGCAAATGTACTATTTAACTGTCTGTTAATTGATAGAAAAACATTTTGTCATTCAGATTTTTAATTTCTTACTTAAATACTTACTTAATTATAAATATTTTTAATTTCAAATGTGGAAGTAAATTTTTCATCTTTTAGCTCATGGCAGATAGTATATCTTTAAATATTGTATATCATGAAAATTGTCTGTGTGAAGATATAGATATAGTATTATGTTTATATCAAATGTATATATAAAAATATATACTCATTTCTATTGAATGGTATACTTTCATACATTTTATTTACCATTGACTATCGAATGTTAACATAATTTGTTCATGCTATTGCAATAGGTCAATATCATTAATTTCCTGGTATAATGAAACCATAATAATTAATATGTATATGATAATGCTAATATATGATGAAATACTATTTTGTTGTTTCAGAAGCATTGTCCATACAGTGCTATAAGGCCTAACTGAATACCATAACGTTCAGGCTGGGGTGCTCACTAACTT